CATCTTGGTAGGCTTTGTCCTCATTACCATGCAGAAAGGAAGTCACGCCTGACAAGAGTGCACCAGGTCTCATCCCTCATGTTGAAGGATAAAAGTGGATGGCATTGAGTTTTTCCCTTCCCCAGGTCAGAGTTTGGTAATTCTCCAGCCTGCTATGTTCTGGGGGTTGATCACATTAAGGAGAACAGAGAGCTCTGAACATTTTTTAAATGGCTGTATTTTGCCTTCCCTAACAGAAGCATAAAATTTTTCTCCGTCTTCACTGTGAGAAACTGGTGGGGCACCTGGAGGTAAAACTCATGAAAGTGGGCCCTCCTGGATTTTTAAATTCTCAAACTTGTCTTCACTGAGCCTCCAGGAATTTCTAATTACAGTTTGAGGAGTTCTTACCCTACCAGCACCAGGACTAGTCAGTTCCTGGGCTTTGGCTCTAGTAAGCTGTGATTCTCTCTATCCACCCATCTCTCCAGTCTTCAGGGCAGCAATTTGCCCCATGACTGCAGTTCTCTGATGGATCTAAAGAGTTATTCAGTTATAAGAGTTATACAGTTTGTTCAGCTTTTCTCTTGTTGTAAAGATGGGAATGATGACTTCCAATCTCCTTATAAATTAGACTGGAAGCTGTCTTTTTCATATATGAGAAGGAAATGAAGAAAAATGAAATAAGTTGCTCTTTGTCTTGGTTAAGTTTCTTTTAAAAGCTGACATCGATAGAACTAGTCTTAGTTCTACTAGTTATTTTGAAAGGTGATCCCTGGGGGAAGAAGTAAGGAATTGATAAAGTGAGTCAGACACAGGAAGGAGGAAGCTAATTCAAGGTGTACTTTGGCCTGCTTATTTCTTGACACTGTTTCTTGATCCTGCCCCTGTCAGGCACATATATTCACCTCAGCTTTGAAACAGCACTAATAGTTCTCATTCTGAATTTAAGATTATCTCTACTGAAAGACAGAAAGTAGTTGTTATGAATGGGAGTCAAGGCTCTAATTCTAGTGGCCTCAGCCAGATGGGCAGCCCTTGGTTAGTCACCTGCCCTCTCTCAGGCTCAATTTTGTTCAATCTCATGGAAGTTCTTTCTACCAAAAAATATTCATGTGGTTGTCTATCAAGGCAGACCCTAGCATCCCAGTGATCGATCTCAAAAAACCAAGAAGTCACACACGTTCTTATAAAAACCTTTAAGAAATTTTGAGGGGAGGGGGCTAAGAGGAAAGAGACAGTAGGGGTGATATAACTAATGTCCAATATAAGCCTATTTGGAATTACCACGGTGAATCCCCCTGTACCATGAATACATTCTAATAAAAAAATTAATGGGAAAAAAATAAAATTGAAAAACAAGAAATTTTGAAACAAACTGCCCCTTTGAAAACTTGTAAGTTTTTGTCTTAGTTCTTTCTCAAGGTTTATTTTAGTATGATCTTTGATCTCTTTGATATTTTTCTTAGCAGACTTAGACCCTGGGCCTGAGCAGCTGCTGGCTCTGGATATCACACCTTGTTTCACTTCTTGTTCACCTTTTATAGGGTAGTTATCCATCAAGACAGAGATTAGACAAGTGTCTTTGAGGAAGAGCTGGCCTTGCCTGGGGAGATACACAGACTAGGGCATGGTTAGATAACAAGGTATGACAGGAACATGTACTTCTGCTCAATCTGGATTCCTAAGTGACTATTCTGCTCTCTTGAGAACAAGTCATATTTCTATTTATAAATTTTTTTTTCAGTACTGGAGTTCGAACTCAGGGCCTACACCTTGAGCCACTCTACCAGCCCCTTTTTGTGGTATCTTTTTGAGACTGAGTCTCGTGAACAATTTTCAGGGGCTGGCTTTGAATTGCAATCTTCCTGATCTCTGCCTCCTGTGATCCTGCTAGCATCACAGGTATGAGCCACTGGTGCTCAGCTTCTATTTATAATTTTAAAAAAAATAGGTATTTGTGATTTTACCTTTTGTAGTCTCAATATATTTAAGAAAGATTCTATGGTAACTTCAGAGAAACATGTAATGTAGAAAAAATAACAAAAAATAACAAACAACTCTGTCCACTAGTGCCATTAATTATTTTTAAATGCATTTAACTCTCATCACAGCCCTGCAAAGTAGATAATACTATTATCTCATTTTTAGATTGAAAAACTTAGACACAGAGATGCTAAAGGCCTTGGCTAAAGCCACAAAGGTGGTAAATGGTACAGCTAGGACTCACCACAAGCAGTCTGGCTCCAGATCTGTGCTTTTAACTAAAAAGGATAAGCTAACAAAACTGAGATAGGGGGACAATGAAAGGCTATTGAAAGATTGCTGGAAAAGAGGAAGGATTCCCAAAATAAGAAAAGCACAGTTCAATTCTGAAAAAGAGTTCAGAGCTGGAATGAGTCTGTAAGACCAGGCCTGTCGTTTTGCTAGACTAAGTCCTGTCTGAGGGTAAGGGCTGTGGGATGAGATGATGATGATTATTATTTAATAAATGCGCTATTTGGTCTTTTAAAGCCAATTCTGTCATTCTGCTTTTGTTTAACTCTACTGGTTCCCTGCTGGACATAGTCATGATTGTCCAGAATGTACAGCGAAGGGGCAGGGATGTGGAGCAAACCCAGCCCTTTCTGTTACATTGCAGGATGATGTGATTCTAGCACATCCTTTCCCCTCCAGGCTGATCTTTTGCTGAGAGGTGGTCCAAACTGGAACAGTGGTCCACCCTAGGATGTGCCCGGGGGCCAGAGAGAATGCAATCCTTAGAGCTGCAGTATGAAGATTCCCACTCAGACTTCCCAGAGTACCTTCCTGTGCCTCCTAACTCAGTCCTTCTTTAGGAGCACACACACCTTCCTGAGGATTAGTGCTGAATCAGAGAAATTTGAGTGCTGGCTATCCTGCTTATTAGACAATCATGTCAAGATCAGAAAGGCGAAGATACACATTTGCTATCATGAACACGCCAGGGATCCTTTGTCCAGAATTCATTCTCCCTACTTTGAAGAACTGAAGCATGTTCCCTATTCACTCACTTTATATTGTTTTTCTATATCTGTTCTGCAAATAACCTGCAGAGTGTATGCTAACTAGCCAAGAGAGTTTAAAAATGTAAGTCAAGTTATTCCTATCTCTGAAACTGCCTCTCTCACTTCTTATTTCTCTGCTTTCACCAAACCCAATCCCTTCATTCCTTCCTACTCCCAAGCTAGACTGACTATAGAAATAAATGATCAAGTGGAGAAGTGCCACAAACAGGGCCTCCATCTCCTCTTGTAGTTTAATCCCTGTCACTAATGTCTAGTCTCCTTCTTCCTAAGCCAGCCTTACTTGTGATAGGTATTGTGATATTCCAAAAATAGGGGCATATCTAAGATTGTAAAAACTTAAAACTTGGTTAAAGTAGATTTATCTTGGCTTCAATTCTGCAACATATAAAGTAAGGGATTTTACAAGAATAGGCAAGAAGAATAGTCCAACTACTGCTGCTCGTGGCTGCCTGAATGACACGGACTCTGAAGTTACACCTAGGTCCTGATTAAGCAATGTCTATGTTGGGAAAGATAGAAAAGTGATATCACTTGCCATCTCAGGACTAGTTATCCTGTAGACTTATTCTAGCTTTGAAGTACTGAGAATTGAAATTCTTTATGTTGTCTTTTTCAGAATCAATCTGTGCTTTCTTCCTTTCTTCCTCTTCTTACTGTCTCTTAGCAGTTCTTCAACCAATCTATGTTCAGTCACCAATAATTGATAAAAGTCTGAAGGCTTCCATCATCACACTGTGTGACTTGGGTAAGTCATTTTCCCTCACTGAGTCTCAGTGACATGGTTGTAATCCAATTCCAAGCTCCCAGACCTCTCCTCCTAGATTGAGGTACCCTCAATTTGTAAGGTTATAGAGCAGAGAGAGTTTGTATAGAATATAATATCCTGTGTAGATGGTTCTGGCTCCCAAGAGGTCACATTCAAATGTAGAAGGCTTCAGAAGAGAGACTGATCCTGTCTCAGACACAGAAGCAGTAGCAGTACATCCCAAGACAAGTGTCCTGCTTGTCCTATCTCTGCCATTTCACTTTAAACTCCAAGGAGACAAAGTTTATTTTCTGGAATTTCAATCTGTGAGTTAGACATGCTTTTAAAAGGTCATCTAGTCCAGTCCCTCATCCCAAGAGCAGGAATTCCCTCTCTTATATTACTGAAAGGTATTTTCCACACCTGCTTGTATACGTCCCTGCTGGATAATTGACACGTGAAAGTAGAATTAAATAATCCCTTCTGGCAACCTGGTCTCCTAGTCTAGATCCCAGGATAGGAAATCTCCCTAAACCAAAACACTAAGTCAGGTTTTCAAGATGGCTCCTCTGGCAACGGTGTTGGGAACCTGACGCATCCCTCCTGTCTTCTCCTTGCTGTGCAAACACTGCAAGTTTTGGAGTCACACAGACCTGGGTTCATGTCTTACTGCTACCATTTCCTTGCTGTGTGGCTTTGGGCAAGGCACCACAGCTCTCTTTGTGTACCACTGCAAAATACCAAGAAAAATGTCCTACCTCTCCCCCGCAGCTCCGGCCCCGGGACCTGTGGTGAGGCTCTATCAGAGGAACGCGGCGAGTGCTAAACATATTCACTCAGGTTCCACGAGGACATGAGTCTGTGTTGGGCAAACACGATTTCTTAGTCACAGAGGATTCCTTTACCTAGGGCTGAAAATAAACCTTTGCTTACTATATAAAAATGGGAAAATTTGGGCCCCCAAATTCTAAGAATGTAATCCGTCTTTTAATCTTCTTGTTCCCAATGCGGGGGATCAGAACTCAGGACTTCTTGCTTCATAGACAGATGTGCTACAGCTTGAGCCACTTTCCCCACAGCTAGAAAGCGTTCTTCTGCGAGGCCTATTAACAAAGCAAAAATCTCTGCTGCCCTCTGTCTTCTGAACAAGGAACTCTTCTGTGCTCTCAGTCTAAAACGAAAGTTAAAAACCAGAAATCGAAACTGAACTGAATGCAGACATTCAAACTGGTTATTTTTCCCTCTTCCTGAGATCTGAGAAAAAATAAATGCTCCTCACTGAAGACTGAACCTCAGCCTCAGAGAAGAATGTCGTATTTAGATATCAGCACATGGGAGCAGACCTTTCAAGAACTGATGGAGCAGGAGAAACCCTGGGCCAAATGGAGCCTGAAGTTGAATGGGACCATTCTGCCAGGCCACACTGCCCCAGGATGGAAGCAATACCAGCAGACGGCATTTGGCAGGTGAGTGGAGCTTTGTATAGCCGTAGGCCTTCCTGAGCAGAGAGGCTTGTTGAAAGAACAAATGTCATGAGGTTCTCCAGCCTTTTGTGGTCACAGTATTCTTTAGGGTCTAACCAATGGACTCCAAGCCTCCTTCCTGTTTAAATGCAGGAAGTTTTTTCCTTGTTTTCTTCCCTAAATATTTCTGGAAAACCTTGAAGAATGCCTCTTGTTGTCTTGTTATGACAGCCCCAGCCAAAAAAGGCCTGGCTCTGGGTCCAGCTATTCCTCTGCATCAAGAGAAAATGACATTAAATATATCAAATGGAAAAATGGATTTATTTACAGTTTTGGTCAAAACTGGGGAGACAGTCATTCTCAGCCTATCTCTGCCTTCCCCATAGCAGTTAGGATATATAGAAAAGCTAGAGCAAAACCCAGGAAATATGCATATGAAGATGAGCTGGAAGATAAACCCTTTTCCTGTCCCCACCAATCTGGGCTCTTGGGAGTAGGACGTCTGTGGCTCCTGTGCGATCTTTTCTAAAGGAAGCTAGAACTGAAAAAGATGAATTTTTAAAAATCCCTAATTTTGATGGCACTTCCATGCATTCTGACCACTCATTTGTTGCAGAGGTCCCCAGTTTGTCAGGCCCTTTCCTCTTCCCTCCCTACTCATCCTTCAAGGCACACTCAAGGCCCACCTCCTTGTGAAGGCATCTCCTGAACTCCTAAGCAGAGGAAGTGTTCCTTTTTCAAGTGTCCTTCTTCAACATTCTCATAAGATAATGGTTATGTATAGAGTACAAATGTATATAACATAAATACATAGTATATATTTTTGATAAACCATTTAAAATACTATACAAACTATGTATTTTATTTTGAGCTACAGAATTCTTTGTTTTAAATGAAACATCCTCTGTCTCTGAAGACAGTTTTCAAGCCACTGTAAAATCCAGTGAGCTGTGTCTGTCATAGATTCAGCCAGAATCTGTGAGCAACTCATAATGTCTTTTATCATTTTGGCATTTCCCCCAAACAAAAAGGTGCTTCTTCTGTTCAGATAAATTGATTGAATAGCCTTTTTGAGATGGGAAAAGTAGCTTACATGCATACTTTCAGAAAATATCAACCGGCTTTTGAAAAGCATTTTGTAGTTTATAAAGTATTTTTATATACATTGTCTCATTTGATGCTGGTAACCCACCCTTAAATATTTCCCTTTTTATGGATTTAAAAACTGAGGTGTAGAGAAGTGTCATGGGCTTGAATCTTCAACCAAGTGTCATGGCTCCCTGTCCAGACTGTTTGTCTAGGTGCAAGATTAGCCAAATTGCTCATCAGAGGTGTTGTATGTAGGAGGTTCGTAAACAAAGTGGGTTTCAAATGGCCTAGGGTTGCAGAATATGCCTCTACCACAGTATGTCCAGAACAGGTTGTGTGCATTTTAATGACTCAGTTTCCTTAGCTGGATATTGGACTCAATAATGTACACTTCATAGGAATGACATAAAGATGCATGGGATAGCATTTAAGGCGTTGATTATCATGCCTGTCTCAAAAAGGTATTTTGTAAAAGCTTTCTGTTATTAAAATGAGGAACAAATTTCACTGTAGATAGTAGAAATTCCTTCCCCTCTCATCCATCCAGAGATGTTTTTACTAGCAAAAAGACAGACTCAGTGGCTCACAGAGGAAAAAAACTTTCTCTAGAACACACTACCTCTTGGTCTTATTTGTCAGTGACTGTGACAGTTTTCTAGATTGAAATAGCGCTTAGCAATGAGGTCAAGAACATTTTCCCTGAGGCCAACAATCAGCTGAGGACACAATGGGCTTCTTCTTTCTGCCTGCAGGTTCTGGTGTTCCCTGTGCCACCGAAGTTGGAGTTCTGCCCAAGTAAAAATCCTGTGCCACATGTACAGAGAGCCTGGCAAATCTCAGGGCCAGGTGCTTATGCGGGTTTTTGCTCAGAGGTGCCAGAAGTGTTCCTGGTCCCAATTTGAGAAACCTGAATTCTCCACAGAAAGTATCAAAAGGATTCTGCAAAACCTGATACAATATATTCTTTGGCGATACTATGGACATGACTTCAGGAAGATGCCAATGATCCGGGAGGTACCTTTGAATGGGCCCCATGATACAAACAATTGTGAGGCATGCACTCTGGGCTCCTGTACAAAAGGCTCACTAAAACAAACAGCAAAGCCTTCCACATTTCCCACAAAAATTTGCTGTTCCTCACCTCAAATGGACAATGTGCTTTTTGAAGAGCCTGTGGGTAATCCTGACCCATTTTTCTGGTTCATAATTATATGTTTGGTAGTATTTGCCCTTATTTTCAGCCCAAACAGCATTAAACCATAATGATTTTTGGACTAAAGGCATGACTCAAGTGGTAGAGCACCTGCCTGGCAAAGGTAAAGCCCTAAGTTCAAACCCCAGTGCCGCCAAAAAACCCCAATTTTTAAAAATAGATTTGTCTTGTTCTCTTCTCTTGTCTTAATTCAATGCTAGTCAATAAATTGACTGCTATTTTAATATGACAGAGAATTTGCTTTATGATCAAGCAGAATAAACACTAATTTCCTGGACATCCTTTGGAGATAGTCTAAAACTATCTTTAGGTCAAACACCTAATGGAACCAATAATAAATATGTATTGAATCACTAAGAGATATTCATTCATTCACTCATTTTTTGGAATCAATATATATTGATCAAATCTTGACAAAAACTAAAGATCATGAATATTATTAAAAAGTTACTGTGATAGACTGAATATTGCTTCCCCTCACAAAAATGTCCTTCCATATCCTAATCCCCAGGATCTGTGAATGTGTTACTTTACCTGGCAGAATGGGCTTGCAGATGTGATTAATTTAAGGATCCTGAGGCAAGTAGATTAGTTTGCATTATTCAGTGAATAATAACAAGAGTTATATTCTGGTTTGGATCTTATGTGTCACCCAAAAGCTCATAGTTGAAGGTTTGGTCCCCAGCTGATGGTGCTATTGGGAGGTGGTGGAAACTTTAGGAGATGGAGCCTAGTAGATCGTTGGGGAGGAAACAGATTATTGAGGACATGCCCCTGAATAGCACTGTGGGATCCTGGCCCCTTCCTCTTTCTTTTTCTGCTTCCTGGCAGCCAGGAGGTGAGCAGCCTCCTCCACCACATTCTTCTAGCCAACGTGTTCTGCCTCACCACAGGCCCAATATACCAGGCTAAGAAACCATGGACTAAAACTTCTGCCACTGGGGACTAAAATAAATATTTCCTCCTTTAAATTGATTCCTCCTGGTCATTTTGTCACAGTGATGGAAATCTGAAGAACATATGCCTTCGTAAGAGGGTGGTAACAAGGTCAATGTCAGAAAAAAGGAGACTTGAGAATGGAACTGGTTGGAGTGATGTGCTCTGAAGATAAAAGAAGGGATCACAAACCAAGGAGTAGAGGTGGCATTTAGAAACTGAAACAGGTAAAGAAATGAATTCTGTGGGCTGGTGGAATAGCTCCAGTGGTAGAGCCTAGCAAGTGTGAGAGCCTGAGTTCAAACCCTAGTGCTGCAAAAAGGAAACAATCAAACAAACAAACAAAAAAAGAAATGGATTCTCTGCTAGAATCTCTAGAAGAAACCACTCTTGCCATCACATGAATTTATCTCAGTAAGACTGAGATAAACCCAGAACTATACTATCAGGCAGTTGTGTTTTAGGTATACTTCAGTTTTGATAGGAAAAAGAAGCATTTGTATATTAGAAATAGTGATCCATCTTATTCCTTCTGTTCTTCCTTCTCACCTACTGAAACTCAAATATTCCAATCTCAAAGAGATTCCATTTGATTTGATAATGCTTGGAACTAGTGTATTATCTCATTTTTTGCAGTGCTGGATTGGGAAGCACGAAAGAATATGCCAGTCCTGAGAACCCATGATGTAAGGCTAGCTTTCACTTTCTATATCCATCTGTTTGCTAGGCATTTCTGTGTGGATATCATACTGACTTCTCAACATTATCATGTTTTAAAACAAGCTTATTAGCATATCTGACTTTCCTGTTCTAATTGACCCCAGTTACTCTAGAGTATCTCCATGGAGTCATCTTCAACTTCTGTCATCTTCATCATCTCATTTTTTGTCAAGCTGCTCTCATCTCTTCCCTCTATGCTTTCCTGTTGTTCCCTTTCCCTACTTAGTTCATAGGCAATTAACTAAGTCATTACAAACATTTGTGGATCTGGGCAATTTGAGTTGAATCACATTGTAAAAACACTATATAGTTCTGGGAAATAATAGAGTAGAGAATAAGACATAGGAGTTTGGCTTCCAACAGGACAGTGGTAAACAGAGAAAGGGGCACCTGGAGACAATGAATGTCTTGAAGGAATAGGAAGTCAGTGAATTATTAGAGGCTAGAAAACCAGAGAATAAAAAATCTCCCTTTCCATTTCCTCTCAGGCCACTCCCACCAGTACTTTCTCTTTATTCATATTCCTCTCTCCAAACCACCTACTGAGTTTCTGCATTCCTTCTACTTTCATACATCTTTGGTTCTTTGACAGAAAATATTGGCCTGGGTACGTACTTGTAGACATCAGTTATAGTCTGTTTATATTGTGTGATGTGGTACAAACCATTATCCCTTCCTGGGCTTCAGTTTTTCCATGTTAAAAACAGGTTAAAGTAATGCATGGAAGATTGAACTCATGCATTTATCTTTGGTCTTTCTCAAAACCACATACTGAGACAGTAAAAGGGGGAAAAGATAACAATATGCAGGGCAGAGAGAAAGGTTAGAAGCTAGAAAATGGATGCACTAATGATAGATAGCAGACTTAGCAGAGTAGAGAGATATGGAATATAAATTAAGTACTGGAAAACCAAGATGCAAATTTACATGGAGTCCTCAGAAAGTATCCATGGCTATTCGTAGCCAGTGACTCTGAGGTAAACACTTGGAAGAAGGAGGATTGGCAGAAAGCCTTTGTAACAAGTTTCTTTTCACCCAACCCAAGAAGAACACAGCCTTATTATCTGAAAATATTTACTCATAGGAACTCTGAGCTCTGTGAAGTCTCCAAAGGTGAAGAGTGCCACCCAGACACTAAAAAGACCTCGAAAGTCAACATTCAGAAAAATGGGACTCCCATTGCCCACTATCAAATCTAGGAGCAAGTCTTATATACTACCTACTCATTTCAAATATGCAGTATTAGGGTTCCTGTTTAGTAATACTGCACAGCTCACAATAAAACAAAAATGAAAATAAGTACCCATTGTGGCAGTAGGCAGGGAGCTTCACCAATGCAATAGTTAATTTAAATAATCATGGATTAAGTACCTCAGGTATTGAAATCCCATGTGAGCTTCTACTCAGCTTTTTAGTGTCTTGTGTTTGCCTTTGGACAGATTGCCAAGGGATTATCAAATATTTGATAGAATCCCCTAATATGAAGGCAAAGATGAAAAAAAAAGGACTAAAAATGGAACTAAAAAAATACTCAAGATGAATCAAGAATAAGAATAAATCAAAAACATATTTTAAAAGCAAAACTACTACCTACAACTCTGACAGATAAAAGAATAAAATATTCACATCACATTTGTGAAACAAGAATTGGATACAATTCTCTGAGACAACCTTTGGCCAGAGGTAAATCCTTTGGAAAGTCCCAGTTACATGTCCCTGCAACAATGCACCCAGAGCTTGGAGAGTGAGTGCCTTACTCTCAAAGGAGGTGACCTCAGTGGTGCCCCACAACCTTCATTATAATCAACATTTTGTATTATTCGGATCCACTTGATTTGTATAAAAAGTTATCTACATGTGAGTAAAGATCCTCCAAGATTCTTTTCCTAAAAAAATGAACAAGAAGAAGATTATGGAGTAAAATAAGTTTCCACCACTGCATCTGTTCTTGGGATGCCAACTGATATTCATGATCTCCCTTTCTTACCTTAATATCTCTGCAGGTTTAGGTGGCTTAACTGATGGATTATCTAGACTTATCCCCAAAGAGTATGAGACCTTGGTCACAAAATTCTTGTAAGTCTGTGGCTTCTGACCTTACTTATTTCTATCAAAACTGGCCAAGGAAGTAAGAATAGATACCCTTGTGTAACCAACTTCTCACTTATCACTTGAGTAACCAACATAGTCTTCCTACCACCATGCTCTGCCTCACCATGTATGAGCCCAGAAACAACAGACCCAAGAGACCACAGACTAAAGCTTCTGTGAACCAAAACTGTGAACCACAGACTAAACCTTCTGTGAACCAAAACCGTGAACCAAGATAAGTCCTTTCTCCCATAAGTTGTATTCTCAGGTATTTTGTCACAGTGATGAAAAAAATCTAACACACCATCTTTCTCCTTCCAGACCCTTGACCAACCAGCTAAGCCACTGGCTGCTGCCCATGGGTCCATTTTTATTCTCACTGAAACATTTTGCTTTTAAAATGAAGTAGATGCCCAGATACACCAAAGTATTGCCCATTGGGAATATTTTTCTTTTCTACCACTTTTCAAGATCACTAGTATATAGGACTATATTGCAACCTCAGTATATTCTCAACTTCTGCCATGTATTAGAACTAAACCATTGGTGAGCCAAGATTGGCCTTTTCCTTTCTCTGTTGACTGGTCATAAGTGATAAACCCTCACATCACATCCACCATCACAGCTACATGGACAGATGTGAGCATAACACTTGCCATTCCCTCTTAGAGGGGATATTTTTGTTTTTTGGGAAAGAGTCCTCAGATTTTCTCATTACAGTATGTATTCTTTACCACGGTAAAGAATCAATGGATTGATGTATCCATTCCAATTATACATTTGGGACTAGGAAAATGACAACTTGGAAATCCATGGAATCGGAGGACCAACTATAAGCCTAATTTGAACGAGGACTCCTTTTTTTACCTGAGTCCTACTCTCCAAGCAACCAATAATTCATTTCAGATGCTCAAGGATCAATAAAACCCAAAAGTTCTCAAAATGTCTGGATAGTCTCCTTTCCCCAGCACGTAGTTACCAAAATAAAGGGTCATGCATCCCGTTGTAGCATTCTTCTTCTTGAAGAATGGGCCTCTTTTGTAGTTAATACATTATAAATCTGAAAACTGCTTAGATCTTGACTGAAGAAGGATGTCTCCCTATTTATCACATTCCTCTGTTTATTTTCCTCACCCTAATATGCTCTTTTCCCCTTTCTCTTCTGACATTCCCTTGATTTTTCTTCTTTTCTCTCACTCTTCTTCTAACTATAACTT